GCCAAAGAAGAAGCCAAGAGTTTCAAACTACTCTTGATGCAAATGGCAGCACATGTTTTCGTCCAATAATGCAAATAACTTGAAATTGAGAAGTATCTATTGTATCCAAACCTTCATAAAGGCAAATTCTTTGAGCGCTGCAAGCCGAGACAAGTACAGCCAGCTGAAGCTACTACGATGCCTCAAGTAATCACGTTTCGATTTGACTGCCCTAAAAGATGTCCTACCAAGCCTGTGCAGCTTCATTGCGAGAACTGTACCATCTTCTGTGGCAACCTCAAATATATCTTGAAAACAGAGAAGTATATGTCAATAACAAATTGTGGATTGACTGGATACCAAAACCATGACATAATAAATGTATTTATGTATTTATACCAGACTCCTTTCCAACACCAATCTGACGACCAACGGCAGTGAAAACTCCTCGGTTGACCAATGTCTTAATTGCAAGAAAATCGTAGCCCAAATATGTCAACCGAAAACCATCATCTACATCAAAAATACATCGCATTCAGAATTCCATTTCATAGTATAAAAAAAAGTGTAAAATGCCAAAGTTCCACAAAATTAAATCTGAAAATATAGTACTCCAACAAAATTTAGAGGAAAAGATACCTTCAAGCAAAATAGTACACTGTGATAATGGAAGCAACTAAAGAAAATCAGAATAAGAGTATATAACTAACATTTGGAAGCATCGTGGTGCACGAGCTTGTGCTTAAGCAGATTCTTCAAAACTTTATATGTGCCGCCATGCCTAATTTTGAATATAAACAACAGAGTATAAATAAATAATAAATAATAACTAGTATTGATCAACTACGAACGGAAACTAAATATAAACTCACTTGAGAGACGCGATTCGGTCAATCAACTCCGACGGTACAATTTCGTGCTAAACTCGTCAAAATTACATGAAAATTTTGATAAATCAATTAATTAAGTAATTGGTAAAAAAAAATAAAAATTGACAAAGAGGAGAGAAACAAACATTGCGCATGCCCATTTCGACGGCCGTAAGAACCCTAAAGTCATCTCTGGAGAGATATCGCAGAGCATCCACATCCAGCTTCATATTTTACTCACTACTGACTATTCAGCGAAATAGGATGAAGAAAACAAACAATAGCGGGCTGCAGCGTGCACCGGTGGAGTTTCGGAGGCCACTGCGGCGGCGGCGGAGGCGGTGGAGTTTCAGTTAGGCCGCGATATTGGGGGAGATGAGGTTTCAGTTCACCGAGTTTGGTTTTGTTATGTTTTGTATTTGGGCCCATTTGATTCGGCCCGATAGAAAAGTAAGGCCCAAATTATAGATGGGCTTTTGAGTTCGTGTTGAATATTGTTGGGCCATTTGCTATGATTTTATAAGTTAATTTTTCCAATTCGAATAAAATTTATATAAATTAGTAGTCAATAAATTAATAACCTACATAATTAAATATGGGTAAATTGATGTTGTATGAGAAATAAGTAAAAATAAATAAATAGCATACGTTAATTTGTGTAATTGGTTCCCAAGGTAAATTGCAAGTTTGTAATGTAAGTCCCTGTATTTTGCTAAATTGCATTTTGCATCCTTAAGTGATGAG